AAATTTCTTACTCGGCCATCCTGTAGGATACATTCAACCTCGTATATATTGAACATAAATTCTCTTTTTTTTCCCCACAGGAAATTCTTTATTCGCAGGTTTATACTAATAAAATTCTAACGTTCAAATTCGCTTGAAAATCTTAATATTACAGTTTACGCTCGCAAAATAATACAAAAAATAAACACTAATCTAAATACAAAATTATACGGTTAATTAAACGCATCAGTCAGGATTCATCGGTTTTATCCACCATTTCAATTTATCCGAAGACAATACCGTATTTAATGGTCGTGACGTTAAATTAAAACCCGGTATGTCTTGGACTACATAGCGATTTCGACCCAAAACTTTCGTTATTATATATGGTCCCTTGTAACTGGCCTTGAATTTTCTGCTTTCACCTGGTTTGGTCTGTAAATTTCGAACCAGCACAAAATCGCTTTTATTATACATAGTGGGCCTCTTGTGTTTTTGATTATAATATTTTTTATTATAAGCTTTGATTTTTCCAATTGTTTCAATCGCTAAATTCCGAGACACATCTCTTTCCCGCTCAACATCCTGATTTAAACCTATCCAGTTTTCTACAAAATCAGACAAATTTTTATCCATATGTTCTCTCTGATCGAAGCCTAACAGAAATTTATTCGTAGTTGATTTAATGAACGCATAAAACGTATTATTTATTACATATTGAGTCAAATTTAATTTAATTTTCCATTCATTGGGCTCATCTATAATTTTAGCCAACGTATTTTTCAAAAATCTATTAACCCTCTTTACCATCCCATTTGCCCACGGAGAAGCGACTGCTACCATGCGATGTTTTATTTGATAATTCTCAATAAACACAGCAAATTCCCTAGAAGTAAACGCAGAGCCTCGATCTGATATTGGTTGGTTTCGAACAAGAGACACAAGTATCATCCTATCTTTGTTACTCACTAAATGTGGAACAAAGATAGAATAATGTTTGTGTCGACTTGTGTCTCTTGTTGGAAAGCAACCATTATTTCTTGAGTCTTTCCGAACAATCTAATTAATAACTCCAGATGATCCTTGAGTTCCTTGGTACTAGTAGTTTTGGTCGGTACCAACCACACATATCTACTAAAACTATCTATTATAACGACGATATATTTACACCCATCATTAGTCTCAGGCAAAGGACCGAAATGATCAATATGCAGTTGTTGAAAAGCTTGTCGCGATAGCTCTTCTATATGCATTTCTCCTTCTTTCACGTTTGTCGAAGCGATGATCGTCAAATATGTTAAATAATTGGACATATGGTCAAAGACGCGTTTTCGTAAAGATGGGAACCAATACGTATTGTTGATACCTTAAATTGTTTTCTCAACTCCACAATGCCCCATGTCATCATGATATGCATGCATAATATTCCCTATCATCACGTCCGATACCACAAATCTCGATCGATTTAGTCCCTTTCGGTAGACCAATCCGTCTATTAGTTCAAATTTATCATTATTTCTAAATTCTAGACCCATCGCTATCTCCTTTAATTGGGTATCCTGTAACTGTTTAAATTCGAATATTCATTCTAACGGTAGAGACTGTACTGTTGAAATTAATCTGCTTAAGGCGTTCACGTGTGCCATCCGGTTACCCGCTTTATGTAAAATCTTAAAATTATAATTTTGTAATTGAAGCGTCCAGCGAGCAATTCGGGGATTTAAATTAGCCTTATTAACCGCGTGGACTATGGCATTACAATCAGTGACTATAGTAAACTGCAAACCATACAAATAAACGTGAAACCGTTCGACTGCCTTTATCATGGCTAACATTTCCAGCTCAAAATTGTGATAATTAGCTTGGGCTTCGTTGGTGGAGCTACTATAATAGGCTATTGGTGCCGAGGCGCCTGTGGACTGTTTTTGTAACAGTATTGCCCCTATGCCTAAGGAGCTAGCTCAGTCTCCGCTTTTGGATTATAAATTTGAAAAACTGGATATGAGATTAGTTCTTGTTTCAAAGTATCGTAAGCTTGAATACAATTATTATCAAAAATAAAACTAACGGACTTCTTTAATAAGTTATATAATGGTCTCGCTTTGAGGGCATATTTGCCAATAAATTTCCGGAAGTAAGAGGTCAGTCCCAAAAAACGTTGCTCATCATGAATTGACCTGGGCAAAGGGAAATTCTTAACTGCTTTGGTATATCGAGGACTCAATGTAATTCCCATCTTCAAAACCATGTATCCCAAATATTCAATCTTTTCTTGAAGGAACCGACATTTATGGAAATTAATCTGAAAATCGTATTGTTTCAGGAGCATTAACACTTTTCGTACGATTCGCAAATTTTCCTTTACCGATTCGGTTGGAATTAAGATGTCGTCTATATATATATATAATAATTTTACCCTCTCGGATCAAAGGGTGTAAAATTTTAGCAATGCGTTTTTGAAACTCAGCGGGAGATTCAAAAAATCCAAACGGCAATCGAGTGAACTTGTACTGCCCGTCTGGAGTAGCAAACGCAAAATGGGTGAGACCCGATTGTAATGATTGGTTCGATCTAGTAATTCACTAGATAATTCTTTTTATCGGTTGGTTATGTCCAATCGTACCGTGGTCAATCGGGACGCTCCCATCGGGGAAACACCCTGTATCTCGTAACTATAGTAACTATGGCTACGAGACGTAGCTATGGACGGAGCACAGCGAGTCGCGATTCGCGTGTATCATGATCGCGCGCCGCTATTCGCACATATCGGTCGCAAACCGCTATTCGCGCGTATCAATCGCGCGCCGGCTCGAGGGCTTATTTGCTCTGACAAAATAATTAATTCCTTGAAAATTATTGCGAATTTCGCAAAATGGTATTTGACTTTTCTGTTCCGTTTAATCCGTTCTACGTTCCTACGACTTGTGTCAAGAAAAGTTTCGGACACCTTGTGTGTGTGTGTGTGTGTGTGTGTGTGTGTGTGTGTGTGTGTGTGCGTGCGCGTGCGCGCGCGTGTGTGTGTCACACTCCTCCGGGCATTTTTTGGGAACATAGAACAGGTTGCGATGAACATAAAAATCCTATACCGTTTTGCGATATTCGCAATAATTATCGAGATATTAATTGTAGAAAATTTGTGAATGATCATGCAGAATATGGTAAATGAGTTATAATAGCGACGACTGCCGTCGTGTACTTATACTTTAGGTCAAATTGAACAAAAAAGTCCTCTACCATTTTCCAAATAATTACATAGATTTTTAATTATTAATTAAAGATTATTGCACGATTTTGCGTGATAATGCATTATCTTCTTTAATTAATAATTTAAAATATATGTGATTATTTACAAAATGGTATAGGACTTTTTTATTCAATTTGACCTAAAATATAAGTACACGACAGCAGTCGTCGCTATTATAACTCATTTACCATATCCTGCATGATCATTCACAAATTTTCTACAATTAATATCTCGATAATTATTGCGAATATCGCAAAACGGTATAGGACTTTTATGTTCACCGCAACCTGTTCTATGTTCCCACAAAATGCTCGGAGGAGAGTGTGAGATACCCTGTGTGTATGTATACATATATACATATAAACATATATATTCTGATGAGCTCGTCTCTCTCACACAGATAGTTTGTTACGGAGTCTTTTCGTGCGTAAATAGAGGAGGAAAACTGCTAGTGCGTCCAGGCACGATTGCCCATTATTGGCCTATCTCGCATTATTACCTCTACAGTCAATCAGGATTTACTCTTGGTTCCTACTGACCGTTAAAGTTGTACTAGTTTGTGAATTGATCATCTATTTCCTTCAAAAATTTTTGTTGATTTTATCAACGAGTTTTTATTTGTAACGAGTTTACGCGAAAGTAACAAATACATAATCGATTTACATATATTAACAGGACTTTAAAATGTAACTGCAACTTTATTGAAAATGATTTTTTAAGGCTTCTGGGGAGTCGCATCATACATCTCTTTTTAATGACGTCAGAAGCGAGAAAACGCATGCTAAAAATTCTTGCAAAATACGTCGAAATAAACAAATATATTCACAAAACGACATTTGCGATCGATTAAATACACCTCTAAAATACCGTACATTTTCCTTTTATTCTAAAAATCAATAGATAATCGGAAAATTAATATTACAAGATAATGAGGAAATTAGGTTAAAAAAGACGATTGCATGTCACATTTATTTTATAATTATCTGTTGATTGTTAGAACAAATGGAAAGTGTATGGAGTATTTTAGAGATGTACTTAATCGATCGCAAATGTCGTTTTGTGGATATATCTGTTTATCTCGACATACTTTACAGGAATTTTTAGCATGCGTTTTCTCGCTTCTGATGTCATTAAAAGATGGATAATGCGAGCCTTAAGCTTTAAGCCCGTATCAGACTACTGACTGCACAGGCCGCCCCGACTGCCGATTCTCAATGGACCAATCACAGTAAGGCGATGAGTCGGCGCCTCACTGTGATTGGTCCATTGAGAGTCGGCAGTCGGGTCAGCCTGTGCAGTCAGTAGTCTGATACGGCCTTTACGGTACTTTTTTCGTTCTAGATAGATATTCGTAAATATCGCATCATAAAGCTTTCTATTTGTCCAAATTTTTTTCTCGCTACAATATATTCAATTATATTTCGAGATCAGTGAGTTACATCTTTAATAATGCATAATATTTTTCTTATAGAAAACTTTAAAATAATAAAACATTAAGTGCGTTCAGCGAACTCAACAGTTGAGCAATTCGTCAATGTAATTGGTCTAGATTTAGGGATCTAACAGTAAAGACCAATAATCATTGACCGCTCACTGATCAGCTTTGTTTTCTGAACGCAGTCATTATATATTAAAGCTATATTTGTTTATCTGGCGTCAACCATGACACTATCGCGTGTCACGTCGTTCCATATCTTTGTTTTGAAATATAAATACTTAAAGAACTTTTTTCTTATTTACGAACGTATCAACAACAATACATAATAATACACAAGAATAATGTTTGTAAGGTTTACATTTAATTCCCACTTAAATTGTGTATACAATTGACTTTTAAATGACATTTGCTATAGTTTACTCTATATAAAATTGCAACCGTTATCTAATTATGTATAAGTACGCTAGAAGCATTGCGAATAAGAAAACGAAAGTACACATCCATAGCACAGTTTAGGTAATACCAGAAAATTTCATATTATATAAGATTTTCAGTTATTTCATAATGTATATCAGCACATTTGACAAATTAAGACTTCTGATTCTTCACTGCGGTCACCTTGATTGATATAACAGAAATAAGATAATATATGCTCCAAATTCTTGCAAAGTACATTAAACTAATAAAATATATATATCCATAAAATAATACTTATCACTTGAGTACTTTTATAAAATATTCGGAAAACTTTCCTTTTGCTTTAACAATACTGTCCGATAAATTTTGATCTTTTTTATTACATTAATAATTGTTTATGATGTATTTTTGTTTGCTAAATACAAATTTATCTTTCAAATTTGCCTATTACGTCACAATTTTGAGAAAAACGAGATAAAAAGGGCCAAACACGACAACTTTGAGGAATTTCATGACATTGTAGCAGTGGCAGAAATCTTTTTTTAATGTCTTTAAAAATATGGACTTGAAGGCTTTAAGATTATATATTACAGATACATTTTTTCATTTCCGTACGATTTTTCGTTTTAGAGATATAGCTATTTAAAAATAGATCTTTCCTTTTTTAATAAATTAAAAAAGCATTTAATTCTATCTAATACTACATTCCATGAAAAGTAAATACTTTGTACTTACATAATATACAAACATTTTTATATTATTAATGCTTTTGCTCTTTGATTTAATTTACAAAATTTTTTTAATTTTGTGATTTAATTTTTTTCATGTTATATTATGTAGGTAACAAAAAAGTACTTTTTTTACTTTTCACACAGTATAAAATTAATATAGTGATTTTTATATTTATCACACGGGGAAAAGAATTTAATAGCTATATTTCCAAAACGAAAGAATGGTAAAGAAATGAAAAAGAATATATTTTAAAATTTAGAATTCCTCGTTAGAGGTCAGAAAACACAAAATTCTTACATGTCATTTCCAAATAAAAAGATAATTTTAGGAATAATAGCCGTAAAATAAACACGATAAAATTATAAGGAAAGGTAAGTCAAAGAGAAACATCATATTAATTTTACGGCTATTTATTGTCTGTCAAGAGAAACTGATTTTCGGTACATTTTACAAGTATGCTCAAGCGATCTGAAGAATTCTCTCTAATACAAGTATCTTTTTACTTGGAAATGTATATGTATAGCACACAAGAATTTTTAACGTGTCATTTAACATCTCATTTCTGATGTCACAATATACTGCAATGAGTTTCCAGGAGCTTTAATAGATCTACAATATGTCATCTACAATATGCAGAACTGGAAATATTTGTCTTAAGTAAAAGAATACTTCTGGTATAAGTTCTTGTCCACAACTTTGCTTTAAGATGTAAGCTGTAAGAAATTGACGAACTATAGTTGATTTTTAGAAGAATAATCGACTGTAGTTAGTCAATTTCTTATGGCTTATGTCTTAAAACAAGATTGTGGACAAGGATTAGGAGAGTTAAAGCATAGGCATAAGCAAAATAAATTATTTTTATTTCTTACTCCAATTTACGCTAAACTTACTCTGCATATTATAGACGGCCGCTTAAAGTTCATAATTTAACATGGCATTAATGAAATTTAGAACAAAAACTGTTGCTACGTCATGAGATTCTTCAAAATCGTCGTTTTTAGTCATTTTTACCAAAGTCTTAATCTATTTTTTTCAAAATTGTGACGTGATAGTCAGATTTAAAAAACGGATTTATATTTAGCGGCAAAAATATGTTGAAAATAAATATTCGTACTCGTGAGAAAATAGTGTTAAACATTATAATCATTAAATAGTTATGAGATTAATATAATGTGATATAAGTTCTTTAATTGCATGTGATAGAAGTCCTTTAATTACATAAAGCAAAAGGAAATTTTCGGAATATTCTATAAATCTGCTTCAATTAATTACACAAATATTATTTTACGATTATTTTTTTATTTTCAGATATTTGCTTTCTCGTTCTCGATAATCAAGATGATCGCTGCTAGAAAACAGCAATCTTAACTCACAATTATTATTCTATGTTTATTACAATAAATAACCTTCTGGTTTTATACGACAAGTGATGCAGAAGAGAGCGTTAGAAGTTGCTTGCATAATGCTAATTGATTTTGATGAAAGCAACTTAGTAGATCTCGCTCAAAAGAAACTTACAATCTGGAAGAATCTCATTACAGTAACATAAAGGACAATTGCGAAATCTAATGACCCGAGGAAGAATTATTGAGCACTTCCGTGAATATGCAAAATCCAGATCTACTTCTCCTCGCACCACTCGTTCTCCTTACGCACTTGTTCCTCCTCCGAAGCGGTAAAATCATTCTTGATATTGAACGTTTTGCGAATCTCCTCTGGTGTCTTACCCTTAATCATATTAGCAACAGTTTTGCAAGTCACGTCCAAGAGTCCTTTAATGTCGAGATAATTGGCTGCCAAGATCAGTTCAAAGAGGGTTCCTTGATCCACCTGGAAAAAATAGATATTAGGCTTTTAATATTCAATCGAATCTAACTCTATTTTGATTAGACCCGATTATTCGGATATCGGATAAATACGATACTTCAAATTTGGATTATCCACGAAATCTGCGTATCTTACGAGATATACGAACAGTTGAAGTGTCAAATTCGGATCCGAATTTAAGTTCTCGGTGGAGTCGATCAAACAACTGAGTCCGTAGCAACTGAGATTTTTCTCGAACATTTAACAATAAATAAATAAATAAATAAGTAAATATTATATTATATACATATACATATATATATATATATATATATATATATATATATGTATATATATATATATATATAAATTTTATATAGTTGTTCGCAAAATAGTAGAGGAATTTTTTGTTCAGTTTTAATCTACCTATGCACTACGACTCCTCTGTGAGTTACCAGACATCTTGTACGTATTCAGATCCAAATTCGATGCTTTAACTATTCATAAATCTGACGAGATATGCGGGTCCGTGGATACTCAAATAATGCGATTCTGAAGTATCAAGTCGGAACTGATCTAAATACCCGGGTCATTTATTTGAATATTTATGAGCCCTAATTGATACTTCAAATATATAGCAGGATTTAACATTTTTCCATGATACACCTATTACAGTTATATCCAGGACTGTGCCATTATAGAAGATTATGTTTACACAGATTGCTTACATATTGTCTATATAATGTATATAATATATATACATGGTTTTTTTTATTTAAACAATGTAAACTATGTAGAATAATGTGAATTGTTAAATATACAAATATTATCAATTATAAAATATTATCATTTATTAAATATATACATTAAAATATACAAAAAAAAATTAAATTATGAGTTACTGTATCTGCTTTGGATATTAGTTACAAGTGTAATATGTAACAAAAGTAACAAGTTGCATGAAATTTTACTTTATTATGCGACAGATTGGTAGATTTAATTCTGAAGAGGTAATAATGCAGTTAGAGAATTCTGTGAATTTTTACTTATTTAAGGAACGTTCATAAATTTGCATCAGTATTCTAAAAGTTAAATAGAAATAAAAACTTCTTAATTTTTCAGCAAGCATTTTTTAAATAACAATCCATCAATTATTCACTGTCTATATAGATGTCATATATAGTTTACATTATATATATGTATAGACAGAATATTATAATTTATATATAAATATCCAAACCTGGAATTATCTCAGAACATTATGAAAATTACAAAAGTAAATCCTAAGGGCAGTGTTCATACTTGGATTTTATATTTAAGATTGTCTCAAGTTCAACTTTAGATACCATGCAAATAGTCTCATTGGCTATAGTGCATCTGAACGCAAACTTAAGATGACCTCAAAAATAAGATCCAACCATAAATATCGTCCTTAGAGCTCATTTTTATATTTATCAATATGTTCTGAGATACACAATCAACCAACTGTAGTTTGATCTTGTCTATCACACGCAAGGTTGTGTACCTTCAAGAAATCAGCATCCCAAGAGCTGATATCATCAGTACGCTTTTCTTTGTTCTCGTCGTCCTCTGGTGGAGGTGGGTCGTCCTTGTGATATGTTGCCCACTGTATAACCTTCCTGAGAATCGCTGAATTAACATTTGGCAAAGGCACAACCTCTTCTTCATCTTCATCCATACCAAGATCTTCTAGCATTGTCTTGATAGTGACAGAACATTTTGCAATTTCTACATCCACCTCAAACACCTCACCGTCAGAACTCTGCAGCTTAATGTTAGGCATCTGTACACACAAGTATCAGAATTAGCGGTATCTAATCTCAATAGTATCTCCTTTTTCTAATATCTACAGATTAATCATCAATCTTTCTTTTTTTAGATAAACTCATGAAAAAACTTTTGTGTTTTCAAGTCAGAGAATTTTCACTTTTTATAAGTTTATATGAAAAAATTCATCACTAGTCTCCTAGTTTAAAATCGATATAAGTTTGCTACATGTGCCACTCAACACAAAGCAATATCTATCTACCAATATATCAGGTTTGTTCTTTTTGTCTGAACTAAGTTGTACTTTCAACTTTTAACACTAAACTTCTTGCCTTTAGATAATAAAACAAATACATAACCTAGTCTAGTATTGGAAAGGAACAAAGTTCCATTGCAACGGCTGAACTAAACATGATAACCAGACAGATGGATATTTAACATTAGACTTTAGTCACAATGACTTTTAGGAATAAATATTAGGAATAATAATAAATATTAAGCACCATAATTTAGGAAAGTGAAATTATTTAAAACAAAAAAACAAAATACACTAACACACTGCAAACTACAAATTAGGAGTCAGTAATGAAAACAAAATATTAGGTATGAAAAACTCATTTGAAGTATAAAATATGCTCAATATTTAATATATTGCTCAATATTTAATATATTGCTGATACTTTTTTCATTGTGCACAGGGTCTTTTATTTGTATTTTAACGATATTTTATTTATATTTTAACGATCTTTTATTTGTATTATTTCGATTATTGTTCGATATTTATTCATTTTGTAAATCAAATATAAATTGTGCAGACGAATGTTATGCTGATTAACGTTGTTTAAGTCTTAAGAATAATAAAAGGTCTGTTTTTTCTTACTGAACTGGCTGTACATTGTTTCTTATCTTTTTTCTACTAAGTTTTATCCGCATATCTGTCTCTTTTCAAGTTCCGGATATGTACACTAGTTCAGCAATAGAAAACAGAAGACCCAAAATTACCTTTTCGGTCTTTGCGTGAAAAAACGAATTGGTGTGATATCGATACGCGATCAATTCTTGGTCTGTTCCTCGTCACCGCCTTCACGAAGGAATCTTTTACTTTGTCCTTGCTTAGTCGTTCTCTTTGTTATATTTGATTTGTTTCTGTATGAATAAGTTGTCTTCTACTTAAATAATTCTTGAGCAATAGAAATTGGTATACCTCCGTTTTCCTTACCTCCGATGTTAGCTTTTATCGAGAACTTTCGGGGACAATGTTGTTATGCGGTCCGAATCTATCACGCATGTGCGAGGCTAAAGCGGGGAGCACACATTCTTGTATAAAAGAATAATGGCTTCTGCACACAGGCCGCGGTAAGGGCTATCGCACACAAATTGACATAACTGCATATGCATAGCATAAGATCGTATGGACCAATGAGCATCGAATATTAAGCATCGAACACCAATATGGGGACTTAATACTCGATGCTCATTGGTACATACGGTCTTATGCTATGCATATGCAGTTATGTCAATTTGTGTGCGATAGCCCTAATGCTTGCCACGCGGCGGAAGTTTGCGCAACAGCCAATCAATATGTTGTTTTTCCATAAGAGCTAGAAGGTTATTACGGAAAGCAGCATATTGATTGACTGTCGTGCGAACTTCCGCCGCGCGGCAATCATTACCGCGTCCTGTGTGCAGGAGCCATAATGCATAACGCATAAGAAAATTGACCAATCAGAGTCCTTCATTTTCATCGTGGCAATAGAAATAAGGATTTTGATTGGTTAATTATCTTATGGGTTGTGCATTATGCCTTTATGCAAGAATGTGTGCTTCCCGCTTGGAGTGCAAACTAGAAATGCCCGATTCTTATAGCTCCTGCACACTCGACGCGGTAATGTTTGCCGCGCGGCGGGCGTTTCCGCGACAGCCAATCAATATGCTATTTTCCGTAATAACCTTCTAGCTCTTACGAAAAAACAATATATTGATTGGCTGTCGCGCGGACTTCTGCCACGCGCCAGACATTACCGCGTCCAGTGTGCAGGAGCCATTACCGCGTCCTGTGTGCAGGAGCCATTAATCGATTCGATTCGATTCTTTCCCTAACAAATTTAGGAAAAAAGGGTTGGTCGTGCTGCTTGCATGTTTCATACTTTTCGCTTTTAAAAAGAGATGGACGTCTAATTAGACGCTTGGAAGAAACAATCGAGTTGGTTGTCTCGTTTCTGCTTCTTTGAAACATTCCAATATACTTCTGTCTAGTTTTAAATACGAAAAGTGCGAAGAATGCAAACAACACGAATAAGCCTATTTTTGGAGAAAGAATCGAATCGATTCAGAATCGGGCATCTCTAGTGCAAACCCATGCTGCGGAATAGCGGAACGCGGAATCAATCACTAGCGTTCCGCAGTTTTCATTGCACAGATTTTCAATCCCCAAATACCCATGGAGCGGAATGAGCGTAAAGCCCGAATCAGACTAAGGATTAAGATTGAGATTGAATTGAAAATTGGCCAATCAAAGCAAAATTCACCAAACTTGAGCTTAGTGAATTTTGCTCTGATTGGCTAAATTTCAATTCAATCTCAATCCTAATCTATAGTCTGATACGGGCTTAAGCGGAATGAGTAGCACGTAACTAATAGTGTGTTTGATTGGCCCTGGGTTAACCGCTTCGACAGCGATTAATGACGTCATAAGTCTCTACTAGCCAATCATAAAGTTTATAAGTACTTGTTCGACCAATAAACGTAGACTGAATAACCCAGAGTGAGTTAACCTTTGACTATGGGTGTTTACGGGTCGGTTTATCCAACCTCTTGCTAAGCTAACTAACAGTTAAATCTTATGTCTGTTTCTACCTAATTTAAAGGAGAAATAAAGACAGACGTATGAGTTAACTGTTAGTTAGCTTAGCAAGAGGTTGGAAAAATCGGCCCTACGTGTAGTAATCGGATTTCCAATCAGATTGATATAATCGCAGTGATGTAAATTGTCTAGACAGAAAGTTCCCTAGGCTAATCGGATTACCAAATTGTGTCCGTGAGGGACGAATCGGATTAGCGGATGCAGAGAAACGTTGCGTACATACTTACGTTTCTTAAGAAATAAATATTAAGAAGTAAATAGAAAAGTAAGTATGTGCATTGTTATTTTCATTATAATTAACGTGTATTCTTCTACAGATGTATATAGATAAATAAAGATTTATTTCTATTTTACTGATATGTGTATATTAAAGAAATAAATACATCTTAACCTAAATGTGCTTCAGTCGTTAACATACAAGTTTATTAAAATATAAAATATTTTCAGAGTTAAGGAATTATGGAAATGAATGAGGAAGGAATGTTTAAACAGAGTCAATTTGATATGTATATATACATATCAAATGACTGAAGCACATTTAGGTTAAGATGTATTTATTTCTTTAATACACACATATTAGTAAAATAGAAATAAATCCTTACTTATCTATGTATATTTGCAGAAGAATACACGTTAATTATAATGAAAATAACAACCTTTACAGCACATTAATATTTCCATAAAAATACAACAACCTTAAATTGTAAGATGGTAACATTACACGGAGGTTAATAAATCTGTCATTAACCTTTTAATAACATGAAAATGTTCGTCCATGCTCATTCCATTAACATTACAGAAACCTTATACGGAATGTTATATTAAAGTTAATATAATATGCCTAGAACCTTTCAATACTTTTAATAAGAAATTCTTAATAAAGAAATATTATTTATATTCAGCTTAATTAATTTATATTGATTTTAACTGAAATTTAGCTCTTTTATTTGATTTCTCACTATTTTCACACTATTTTAAATTTACTCAGTACTAGTCGGACGCGAACTCGAAACTTTATAGCGTGTTTCGACTGGCCCTGGATTAATTGCTCTGAGAGCGATTAATGACATCATAATGAAGTCTCTACTAGCCAATCATAAAGCTTATAAGTACTTGTTCGACCAATAAACGTAGACTGAATAATCCAGAGTGGGTTAATCCAGAGCCAGTCGAATGGCTCCTGCACACAGGACGCGGTAATGCTTGTTGCGCGACGGAAGTTCGCGCGACAGCCAATCAATATGTTGTTTTTCCATAATGGCTCCTGCACACAGGACGCGGTAATGCTTGCCGCGCGGCGGAAGTCCGCGCAACAGCCAATCAATATGTTGTTTTTCCGTAAGAGCTAGAAGATTATTACGGAAAGCAGCATATTGATTGACTGTCGTGCGAACTTTTGCCGCGCGGTAAGTATTACCGCATCCTGTGTGCAGGAGCCATAAAGGTGCAAACTATGCAGCGGAATAACGGAGCGCGAAACCAATCACGAGCGGAAGCAATCACGAGCGAAAACTGTAGAACGCTCGTGATAGGTTCCGCTTTGCACCCTAAGCTCCTAGTCTATTATCTTGGCTGCTGCGCTATTTCTTCAACTGATATGGACACAGGACTCTTGCACACAGGACGCGGTAATGCTTGCCGCGCGGCGGAAGTTCGCGCGACAGCCAATCAATATGCTGCTTTCCGTAATAACCTTCTAGCTCTTACGGAAAAACAACATATTGATTGGTTGTCGCGCGGACTTCCGTCGCGCGGCAAGCATTACCGTGTCCTGTGTACAGGAGCCATAAACGTTTTTTATTATCCCCACATGCAGTCAAAGCAGTAATTATAATTTTCTTATAATATTATTTAATACAACTACAAAAATAAACTATGGTTGCTTGCCAACAAGAGACACAAGTCGACAAAAGTATCATCCTATCTTTGTTACTCACTAAATGTGGGACAAAGATAAAACGATGTTTGTGTCGACTTGTGTTTCTTGTTGAAAAGCAACCTATGTAGTCCAAATATTTCATATAATAAAAGAAAAGTCGGAGATATACATAAAACTAAAACATTTGAAGCGGTTTTTAAGTACAATCTGAAGTTAATTTTTTTATTAATATTTTAATTTAATTTAGTTATATTTACTTTCTTAATAAAAAAAATTTTTATATATGAAAAAAATTGTATATACAATTAAGTGATTATTAATAAACTATATTTCAATTGTGTAGTATTTTCAAGATATACAAAAAGTGAAATAATTACATGTAAGATTGCTGAAATATTAAAAATTATATTAACTTCATGACAATATTATAATGTAAAGTTATTTTGTAAGGTTAATGACAGATTGCAGTAACATGCTCATTAAAATGTGTAAACTTGTAACCCAATGAAAAATTTTTCATATATAATTATATAAAATTATATATAATTATATATAATTATACAGGGTGTTCGGAAAGTACTGGGACGCCCGAATATCAGGAAAAATATAAGTTTTACAAAAAAATGTTTCAGACAAAAGTTGTGGCGTTTAAAAAGATGTATTTACTGATCACATCAGTTTGACCTTGGGTTGCGTAGCGAAGGTCAGGTCAAGGTCACATTAATTTTTTTAAATGGAACACCCCATTTTTCATTGCATATTCTTATAGCACATCTCGA